AAATTGAACCAAGAAATGTTAAGGAGGCTTTAACTGATGAATACTGGATTGGAGCAATGCAAGATGAATTGAACCAATTCAAGCAACATGAAGTATGGGAGTTAGTTCCTAGACCAGAAGGAACAAACATCATTGGCACAAAATGGATCTACAAAAACAAATCAGATGCTGAAGGAGTTGTCACCAGAAATAAGGCAAGACTTGTTGCTCAAGGATACACTCAAGTTGAAGGGGTTGATTTTGATGAGACCTTTTCCCCTGTAGCCAGACTGGAATCAATCAGACTCCTATTGGGAATTGCTTGTCTCCTGAAGTTCAAGTTATTTCAGATGGATGTAAAAAGTGCCTTCCTAAATGGGTACTTAAATGAGGAAGTTTATGTGGAACAGCCTAAAGGTTTTGTGGATCCAAACTACCCTGATCATGTCTACAAATTAAGGAAAGCTTTATATGGCCTGAAACAAGCTCCTAGAGCATGGTATGACAGGTTGACAAAATTTCTCTCTGACAAAGGATACAGAAAAGGAGGCTTGGATAAAACCCTCTTTGTCAAAAATGAAGGAGGAAAGATAATGGTAGCTCAAATCTATGTTGATGACATAGTGTTTGGGGGAACGTCAGATAAAATGGTTAAACATTTTGCTGACCAAATGCAGGCTGAATTCTAAATGAGCCTCATGGGAGAATTGACCTACTTTCTTGGACTGCAAGTCACACAGATGGAAGACTCAATTTTTCTGTCTCAAAGCAAGTATGCAAAGAACATTGTCAAGAAGTTTGGTATGGAGAATGCCAGTCACAAAAGGACTCTTGCACCTACTCATTTAAAGCTATACAAAGATTCAAGTGGGGTTAAGGTGGACCAAAGCCTGTACAGAAGCATGATAGGAAGTCTGCTATACTTAACATCCAGCAGACCTGACATTGCTTTTGCAGTTGGAGTATGTGCAAGATACCAAGCTGATCCCAAAGTCAGTCATATCAACCAAGTGAAGAGAATTTTGAAGTATGTAAGTGGAACTTACAACTATGGCTTGCTGTACTCTCATGGTTGTGAACCAACTCTGACTGGTTACTGTGATGCTGATTGGGCTGGAAGTGCTGATGATAGAAAGAGCACCCCTGGAGGATGTTTCTTCTTAGGCAATAATCTGGTCTCCTGGTTCAGCAAGAAACAGAATTGTGTGTCTCTCTCTACTGCTGAAGCTGAATACATAGCAGCTGGTAGTAGCTGTTCTCAAATGATCTGGATGAAACAAATGCTTACTGAGTATAATGTCACACAAGATGTTATGACATTGTACTGTGACAATCTGAGTACAATCAACATTTCCAAGAATCCTATTCAGCATAGCAGGACCAAGCATATTGACATTAGACATCATTTTATCAGAGATCTTGTAGAGGAGAAGACAATTAAACTGGAACATGTTGCCACTGAACTACAGCTGGCTGACATTTTTACCAAAGCACTTGATGCAAATCAATTTGAAAATTTGAGGGGCAATTTGGGTATTTGCCAACATGAGGAAATGTAGAAATTAATTTTGCTTAAAACAAGGGATGAAGGAGATTTTTGTGTTAAGTCTATTTTGATTGGGTTAATCATATGTTTTCCTATTTCTTTCAAAATTGTTAAGAAGTTGAATAGACACTCATTTACCTCCTTCCTCTCTCGGCTCTGCAATAATCCCCATTCTCTCAATCAAAGATTTCTCTCTCGTTGTTACTGGTTTTCTAAGACTATCAAAATGTCTCAACTATCCATGACATCATCCTCTTCCAAGACGACTATTTCATCCGCATCCTCTGATCGAGAACCTAGGGCAATCACAACATGCATGGATTCTGAAGTCCTGAAGATTACTCCTCTTAAAGAACTGGCAGCTAACCCCTCTAAGGTTAAAAAGCTGAGAACAAGGCATGCAGAAAGGTCTCAAGCTACTTCATCCGCTGTGCTGAAAGAAACCTGCAAAGAGCTGGAGACAAGGAAAAGGACTCTTGAGAACCTAATTGCTAGACTAGAACAGAAGGAGACTGAAGGACAAAGAAGGGAAGAGGATGCTGCTGAAGATCAGCTTAATGCTGAAGATAGTGCCTCCTCTGAAGATGATAGTGCTTGAAGATCAGTGGAGTGTCAAGCTTGCTGCTGGTACCTGTTGCTGCAAGTGATTTCAGAATTTTTGTTGTTTTTATTACTCATTTTGGATGACTGTATAACCTATAAGTACTTGTATCTTTGGCCTATTTATGGCTAAAGAGGGGGAGAAGATTTTGTGTTAATTACTTGGTAGACATTATTTTTTTTCTGCAGACATATTATTTCTGCTGCTCTCTATTCTCTGATTGTTTAGGGGTTTTAGCCAAAAATTTGCCAAAGGGGGAGTTTGTAAGTGTTTAGTTATTGGCATGTATTTTTGGTAAAACCAGGTGTGTGAATGTCATGACTAATGTCATAACATTCTGGGTTATTAGGTACTTTATGTAGAAAAAGAATGGCATACAGTAGTTGTTCTTTATGAGTGTGTATCTGAGCATTTTGCAAAGGTCACATTTATTACATTCTACCAAAATCAGTAAACAGGATTCCTGTTGTCATAACCAATGTTAAGATATCCTGTACTGATCTAACAGTTATGCAGTTTGGTTAATTCTGAGATTTTTCAGGAATTTGGTTCATACATTCCAGAACAGAATCTCACGTGGACTTTAGGTTAACTGAACTCAACCCTAATCTGGTTGATAAAGTCTTGTGACCAAGTCTTGAGGTTAACCCTAATTAACCCTAGCTTTTCGTGGAAGCCCTAACTGAAGAAACAGCTGCATATATATTCAACAGGAAGGCTGTTGGGAAAATCAACTCTTTGACAGAAGATCAACTAGGGGCTGTATAGTTTTAACTACTGTAATTCAAGCAAGTATCATTGTGATAAGTGACTTGGAGTAGGTTTTGATTGTAAGGATTGTGTATCACTCAAAGCTTTGAAGCAAGAGTGTTTGTGTCACTTGATTAAAGCTTTGAAGCAAGGTCAAGTTAGGTTTATGTATCACTCAAAGCTTTGAAGCACGAGTGTTTATGTTACTTGATTAAAAGTTGTGAAGCATAATCAAGTGTATGTTCTGAAGAGTGTCTTCATTATTTCATTAGTCAATTGCTTAGTATCACTGCTGTGATTGAGGGGGAGTGAGTAGGAACTCAGGTTTAAGTTGAACTTAGATTGAAGTTGCATTGGGTAGGTCTTAAGTGAAGGAGATAAACTGGTTGGTTTATTCCTGAATTAATATCTCTTATAGTGAATTTCCTCCCTGGCTTGGTAGCTCCCAGAGTAGGTGTTGTTTCACACTGAACTGGGTAAACAATTGACTGTGTTCTTTACTGCTTTTTGATTTACTGTCTTATAGAAAGTCAGATACGGTGTCATAACATTCACTGTGACATTGAGTATCTGCTGCCAGAATTTCACCCATGTGAATGTTGCAGGCTGAATATTTTATTATTATAAATTAGTGACGTGATAATCACGTCGCAACTCACTTTTTTTACCACATGATTATCACGTCACAAAATCACTTTGCCGGGGATCCTTTTTCTTGTAGTGAACCTCGTCTAAAAAGTTCATCTAAAGCTTCGAGAACTGGAGGTAAGAATGAAGCTTTGACTAGATTCCTATGGAAAGCTTGAAGACGAGTAAGGGGTTAAAATACTTCGTTCTCTACGAGTCCTCGTGTTTGAGGAACTGTGTAGTGGTGTAATTGTAATTGGAAGTGATCACGGGGGCGCGGGCGAAGTCATACACTTCACCATCGTTCTTTCAAAGTCACCCATCTATTAGTTTGAGTGCCACTTCTTCGGATACGTCTCCTAAATCTTTAGTGTCGTCGTCCATAACGCACGATCGTGAAACATATATTAGGTCAACATGCATTACATAAGGAGCCGTGGAATTAACCGTTCTCTATGAATTTTAGAGAATCAACTACCCATTTTTAAAGTGATTGTTGTATCATAGAAAGACTAGAATCCAGGTCTAACAAATTATAAATACCACAATATCACAATAGAGATGACCTAACTGCAAAACATAAATACACAAATACAAAAGCTTTTCATGTCACATAAGTTAGCTTTCAACCTTAAAACAACCCACTTGGGGTGGTCACACATTTTTGTTTTTAGCAAGTATAATTTCTATTTTGTATTACAACCTATTAATAGGCATATGGTTGCTATTGAGAAAGGAGTTTAGCTCTTCACTCACAACAAGGAATGTTGAATTTATATATTTTAGATATGACTATTTTTATATATACTTTAAGATGAAGAAAAATACTAGTTCATTGAACATAACACAAGTATAGATGAGAGAGATATGGTTTATATGTGAATGCCCGAGCCTACAAACATTCACGTTTGTTGAACACTAATCTCAAGGGATAGTCTCAGCCCATGTTAGGATTCCAATTACTTAAAGCAAAGAATTAATTAAATATTTTATATACTATCAATCCAATACTTACAGCTGTATTAGAGCTTAATTGTAATTTGAGTGTGAAACTTGAAATTAGATGTATACAAGTATACTATACGTTATGTGTATATAAAAATGAAGAGTCAATGTGTACGTAAAATTCACACAACTGCATGAATTGCCAACCCAACACACGCATAGGCCTTGTTTGACCACCGCCAAAATATTATTTAATTTAATATGTGAATTGTGAAGTATATATTATATATGATCTCTATTAATTAAAGAAGACTATAAGTGGTTTCTCACTTTAATTTCTTCTTAAAACATCAACTTAATGTTAATATATTATTATCAACTCATACTTTACAAGAAAGACATGTGCATCTAGCAAATAACGATAACATAATATTCTACATTAGGCCAACAGCTTGAAATCTTACTGGCCTTATTATAAATACAAATTTTAGGTTCAACAATAAAACATAGTCTTTGCTTCATTTTGGTTTTGTTAGTATTCAAATCTTTCAAATGGGATCATCAGGTTCTTCACCTTGTGCTTGTTGCAAATTATTGAGAAGACGTTGCACACAAGAATGTATCTTTGCTCCTTATTTTCCTTCCGATGACCTACGCAAGTTTGCCATGGTTCATAAGGTCTTCGGTGCTAGCAATGTCACCAAAATGCTCCAGGTTTCACATCTATGTGAATTGTGGAAATATAATATATATAAATAAATAATATTGGTATGTTATAATTAACGCTTGTATATTTGTTTTGCAGGAACTTCCGATTAATCAAAGAGCAGAAGCAGTGAATAGTTTAGTTTATGAAGCAAATGCAAGAGTGAGAGATCCTGTTTATGGATGTGTTGGAGCCATATCATATCTTCAAACTCAAGTTTCACAATTACAAATGCAACTTGCAATGGCTCAAGCTGAGATTCTTTGCATTCAGATGCAGCAAGACTCTACTGCTACGGTTACCAACACATTACCAACATATGTTGACCAAGATGACAGATTGATGCTCTTATCTGAAAATAGTAACTGCTATGGAGTTCTTCCACACTATATTAACTTTCCCTCTTCCTCTTCTTCTTCATCTAATGTATTCCAAGACTTTGAGCCTCTCAAGAGAGACTCTTTTGGGCTTGAATTTGACAGCTAATTAATCTTCAATGAAAATTTAAACTTTTCTTTCATCTATGTTCGTCTGTTCAGAATATTGCTTTCTTATTTTTTTTTCTTGCCTTAACCATCTTACTTTGGATTAACTCAACATTTAGTCTAGATAAAATGCAAAGTTTTTTTTTGTCAAAATTGTTTTATTTGAAAAATTTGATCTTAACTAAAACACATTTACAAGTCTAAAATAAATGTCTTATTTAGTTAGTGAGTTGTTATTAAAAAAATAATTAAAAATGTTAGTTTAAATGATAAATTAATATTATTTATTGAAATATATCTGTTATTTATGTAATTGAAATATATTTGTTAATTATAGCTAATTGAATAGTTAAATGAAGTGAAAGTTACTATATATATATATATATATATATATATATATATATATATATATATATATATATATATATATATATATATATATATATATATATATATATATATATATATATATATATATATATATATATATATATATATATATATATATATATATATATATATATATATATATATATATATATATATATAAAAGAATATATTAGAAGGAAAAATAATAAATTTTAGTTTAATATTTTAAAGAAATAATTATTTTGTTAAAAAAATTATAAATAAAATATTGAATGAAGACCTATTTTGGTCCTTCATAAAAACTCTAGAACCCAAATTAATCACCAATAAAAAAAAACTCAATTTAATATCTTATAAAATTTAAATAGATCATACTACAAAATAAGTTGTGTTTTGCCACGTGAATCCCACGTCGCTAACACCAAAATCACGTTACAACTTTATTTTTGCCACCTGAAAAAACACGTCGTTGGAGAGCGCGTGGCAATGTTGTTGCGGCGTGGAAAACATGTCACAACGTTGCCACGTGAAATTTACGCCGCAACAAACTTTATAGGGTCAAAGGAATTCAGAGCAGAGGTCAGAGCAGGTTTTATATTTACTTTTACGTTTGGTGTTGCGGCATATTTTTCATGTCACTAATTAGTGACGTGGAAAACACGCCGCAACTTATTTTAAAAAATAATAATTTATTTTCTGTTTTAAATATATTAATTCTGATATAATAATTAATATTATTTTTTGTTTCATTAAATTTATAAATTAAATATTATAATTTATTAATTAAATACAATATTATAAATCAAATTATCAAAAATAAAACTAAATATATCAAAATGTATAAATTAATATACTTAATATTATAAATTTAATAAACTAAAATTTAAATTGAATATTTTTAAATATACAATATGATTATAAATTTATATTACACAAATAAAAAATTAAATAGAAAATAAAAATAAAACTAAGCAGAAGGATCATTCGAGTCGTCGGAAAAGTCGCGAAGAAAGCCATCATTATTTTGGTGGTTATTATTTTGACAACCATTGTTGGGATCTCCCCCAAATGCTTGCATAAATTGTCGCATTTGCTCCTCCATATCAGCATGCCTCTTTGCCATTGCCTCCATTTCTCTATTATGTTCACCCCTCATTGCCTCCATTTGGACCTTCAATGCGGTCTCACGTTCTTCGGACTCGCGTCTAGCCAATTGTCTTACCAGTTCTAACTGATCTGGTGTCAAATTTGTTTGACGTGACCCTCCTTCACCGTCCGCAGCTCTCTGATACAGATTTCTATCCCCACTCCTCAAGGTGCCCGCCAAATTTCCACCACAAAAAAACACCCGTTAGGCCCCTTTCCCCCCAACAACTTGACTCCAAATATAGAAATCCACATCTGGATGAACCGGTTTTCCCGGAGGAGGAGTATACTGAAGATTATGAGTCATAAATTCTACAAGCAAGGCCTGATAATCCTCCTACACATACAATAAAAAAATCAAGTTAAATATATAAGTAAAATTAATGAAATTAAATTAAATAAAAAAATAATAAAAAACATATAGCCACGTGATTGTAACGCCATAACTTATCAGTTGCCACTCAATTTTCACGCCACAACATCTCACTCGCTACGTGAAAATCACGTCACAAAATTGCTTTTATATATATATATATATATATATATATATATATATATATATATATATATATATATATATATATATATATATATATATATATATATATATATATATATATATATATATATATATATATATATATATATATATATATATATATATATATATATATATATATATATATATATATATATATATATATAAACATAAATTTACTTACCAGGGCTTTTTTTGTACGCTCGTCAATAAATTCTCCCGATTTCTTTGTCCGAGTTTCGGTAACCAGCTCAGTCATCAATGGTTGTCTCCCCAAACACTTAGCCTAAATAAAAAAATTAACTTAAATTAATAATATATGTTATAAATCCAAATATGACTTTAAAAAGTGGTAATAATTACCATGCGTCGAGCATGCTCAGCAGTACTAATACTTCCAACAGCATTAAGGCAACCCCCTTTTTCCGATGCCCTCATCTTCTTTGCATTTTCAGATTTAGCCATAAATTCATCTGATTCCCAATACTTAAGAAGTTGTTCAAAAACTTCTTTGCCTATCCATTTGGGAAGAATGCCCAAAAGTTGCCAATTCTCTCTAATACGTCGTAGCATGTCAGAAAGTCATCTTGAACTCCTGCCAAAATAATTTTTTTTTACTTTATTATGGTTCAGTGGATCCTAAACACATTTCGCCTGCAATGTTGTATGACATTAAAATAAATAGTTAGATAAATTATAACAATAATGATAAGGTCATTTAAATAAAAATAACTTAAGAAATAAATTAATTATACCTGAAATTGCTTAAATCATTCGTCTTTATCGGAAACTTCTCTAAAACTCTTCAAAAATTTTGTATAATTCTGCTGAATTATATAATTTATAACCCTAGCAGCAGTCTGACTCGACCCGAAACTAAAACAACAATAATTGAATTAGCATAATTAAGTATATAAAGTTATATTAAAAATGGAAATGTGTACTTATAAATAAAAATCAATAAATAAGAAACTTACGAGTTCCCTTCGGGCCAAATCCAAAATATCCCATCAACAGTATGAATCTCACTCGGATCATCATCCCCTCGAAGATCTCTCCCATCTATCTGATCATCGTCCACACCAAGATCGTCATCATTCAACTCTGCATGATCATCGGATGCAGGTACATGTGTGGGATGTGGGGTGCGACCAGTCTGTGTGGGTCGTGAAGAGGTGGATCCTCCAGGCTATTGGACGGATGGGGGCATCTGTGTAGGAAGTGGGGTGCTGAATCCTCCAGGCTGCTGCACAAATGAGGGTATCTGTGTGGAAAATGGAAAACTGTGCTGGAAGGATGAGGGCACCTGTGTCTGCTGGAATGGTAAACCAGGTGGGGCCCCAGATAGACTAATAAAACATGGAATCCCAGATGGTAACTGAAGAGGACTCTGAGAGGATAGTAATGGCGTAAATGGCATAGTATTGTCCATGGACATATGATGAACCTGACTCTGCGGGGGGAGGACACGTGGCTGAGTGAGGTGACTGGCATACTATTACCCTTGGACGCCTGGGCTTCCTACCACTATCACTAGGACCTTTACCCTTATTATCCTTGGGTGGCATTTTTACCTATTTATAGAAAATACAAGTTAACATATAATATATTTGAAAAGCACATTTCTCATGAATACATATTCATTAACTCATTCAATATATGGTTCGTCAAGTAAAATTACAAGACACAATTCTCATGAATATAGGTTCACTATTCTAAATCGTCATGCTCGTCATCCATATCATCCTCGTCATCTGATGTGATATTATCCTCGGATCTAGAATCTTCATGATCTTCATCCTCATCAACTTGATTCCCCTCAACCATTGTATCAGACAAACTTGTAGTGTGTTCATCTGGAATCACATCATTAACTTCAACTTCATCAACTTGGTAAGCAACATCTTCCACTAGATCGTCAGTTTTAATATGACCCAATGGTTTTGTTTTTATTACAACACAACACCGTCGTTTACGTGGCACAAATGAAGGATAAGGAACATAATAAACTTGCCTAACAATATTTGACATTATGAAAGGGTCGTACTCTTTGTATCTCCGGTCCATTTGAATCTCAACAATACCATATGTCTCATCTATTTTTGTACCTCTAGTTGGATCACACCATTCACAATAAAACAAGACAACTTTATTTTCCGAGTCCAAGTAATTGTATACTAACTCGTAGATATGTTTAACAAAACCATAGAAGTCATCTTCACCACCATCTGTAACTCCTTTCACAAATACGCCACTGTTTATGGGTTTTTTCCCTCCAGTCCATTCATAAGTGTGAAATTTGTATCCGTTCACGAAGTATGTGTGCCATTTGTTTGCACTTTGATGAGGGCCATTAGACAAGTTTCTCAAATGGAGTATTTCTGGAGTCGGTGCAACAACCCTATATAATTTCTCCTTGAACCATGTTGGAAATTGGGCATGAATGACACCAGATGTTGATTGTACACCGGTACTATCAAAATAGGCGTTGTTAAATTCCCTAAAAAGAAACTCACTATAAGTTTCAAGGTAATCAATTTTATATTCACACTGTAAAGAAAATTAAAAAGTTGGATTATACTTACTCAAGATATGGTTTAACTTCAATGCAGTTGATCAAGACATAAACATGTGCAGATTGCATTTCTTGTTGGGTCAACCAATGCTCACCCTTCTTTCCAGAAGGACGACCTGGAAGCCCGAAGACTGATAAGGTGTACTGACTTCTTTCAATAACATTTACAGGATTCCTTATGATTCTTGGAGTTAACATCAAGTGCTTGAAATAGTGACTGCAAAAATGTGAAGTTTCTCGATGCAAGTAATGTGCACATATTGATCCTTCAACTTTAGCTTTATTTTTCACTGATCGCTTTGAATCACCCATGAACCTTTCAAACGGATACATCCACCTATATTGAACGGGTCCTCCTAGATAAGCCTCGTAT